GGATTATTTTTGTTTATTGTGTTGTATCATTAGGTCAGTAGTATATGTTGGTTTGGATTGGTACAACATGGGATTAGAAAAAAAAACAGATCAAAAAATTGAAATGGATGATGGAGCATATCATTTTCCTCTGTTTATCTTACAAAGTGCATATATTTCAATCATAATACTAAAGTGGGATTAATCTGACAAAGTGCATAATTCTATAAAACAATGTCACATTTTGCCTTCAGTGATATCCTTTTCAAGGATTATTTTTGGTTATTGTGTTGTATCATTAGGTCAGTAGTATATGTTGGTTTGGATTGGTACAACATGGGATTAGAAAAAATAAACAGAGCAAAAAATTGAAATGGATGATGGAGCATATCATTTTCCTCTGTTTATCTTAGTGGCTGCATGGTACATGTTCCAAGTATGGATTTAGGAATTGCCATTCCACCAGCAAAAAGTGATCAGCTTGCCAAAAAGAACAGGAAATTTTAAGAAAGATCTACCACAGATCAACTGTTCAAAACAGGGATATCAGGGTCCTCTCATTGCTACTTTGTCAAAATTTATCTGACTTTTGACCAGAAAGCACAAATTTTGTGAAATTGAGTGATACTTGCGCTGGTTTAAGCCAGGAACATTTCACGAGTTGTCTTCCCTTTCTCTTTGTCATCACAGTCGATTTTGCAAAATATGTTTTGGTTTTCATACGAAATTTTGCCACAGCAGTTCCTGAGAGCATTTCTGAATTCAGTTTGAAATTCTGGAAAATGTTGCTTAGAATTTAGTGGGATGGAATGAATTTTGGTTAACAGTTTCTGTATTTTTTTTCTCTCTTCTTTTCAGCCACAAGGGATTCTTCAAATTTGCTTGCACATGAGGCAGCATTTGCTCTTGGTCAGATGCAGGATGTCGAAGCAATTCCTACCTTAGTGAATGTTCTCAAAGATATGTCATTACATCCAATTGTTCGTCATGAGGTCACCCCTTCTCTTGAGCATTTTATTGCATTACCAAGGTTTTTTTTTGTATATTTTTAGTTGTGCTCAATTGTCACTAATACTTAGGCAGCTGAAGCTCTTGGAGCAATTGGCTTGGACAGTGTTATTCCCATTTTAGAAGACAGTTTGACAAATGACCCAGCTCCAGAGGTGCAAGAAACATGTGAATTAGCTCTTAGACGAATTAAGGAACAAAAGAGCCTCAATAGTATGGATGGAACATCCCCAATAAATGCTTCTCCCTTTCTTTCAGTTGATCCAGCTGTGCCTACTTCCCTTATTTCTTCAGTAGATCAATTGAGGTATAATATCACTAGTTTGGTACTTGAATTGTTAATTGGTTTTCACCTGGCTCAGTTGCCATTTTGTTCTTGTTTAAGGGAAGTTCTCCTAAATGAAGAAGAGGGTATGTATGAGAGATATGCTGCACTATTTGCACTAAGAAATGATGGTAGAGATGCTGCAGTTAGCGCTATCATTTCATCATTAGGTGCAAGAAGTGCTCTCTTACGGCATGAGGTATGTCAGTTGTCTGTGGACACAAATAGGCTTGTCTTATTTGTTTATGAAGATTGTGTCTTCTGTATGATGATTATTCACAATTAATGCTGAAGATGTAAGCAAGCATTTTATTTTCTGGATAAGTTATTTTTTGTGAAATTTATTGAGTTGGATTATGTAGCTCAGTCTTGAAGTTTGAATAAAGGATTTAAGTCTTCATCCACTACCAGTTTTGGTAACCGCTAAATATCAATTGGTACCATCCTATATGGTCTGGTACTGGTCCTTTGTCAAACTGGGTTGATACTGACTCACACAAATGAGACTTGACCCCTTGGTTTTGAACCACTGTTGCGTTATAACAGTATTTGTTGGGTGAAGATGCTATCACAATATCTTTATTCACATAATCTGATATGATGCAACTAGCTATGTGCAAGAGACTTAAACATATGAGGCATATTTTTTCTTCTTGAATTTGATTTTATTTTTTTATACTACACTAAGGATTTTTGTTTATACTTATAAATATATAAAAATCATTGTGCCCAAAAAAAGGATGAACAGTGTTTGTATAAATGCTTGAGTTCAGTTGGATTTTCAGTTAGCTGATCTCCGTTGCATTCTGCTTCTTTACAATAGAAGTGTTCTTACAATGTTAGTCAGTAAACAAGTATTTTGATCGGAGAAACTGAGATTCAGTAGGAATACATTTAATCATTTGACTCAATAGTTTTGTGAAATTTCTGGTGTTTAGTTTCAGGCCTGTTTTTGATACTTTTTATGACTTTCTTTCTTATCTTTCGGAATCTGTATTTTCCATTTGAGAACTCTTTTATGCACAATGTTCAACTTCTTGTCTCTGTAACTAAACCACCAAACAACATTGTTCAGCAACCATGAAATTAAAAGAAATGCAACTGTGAGGATTTCCTACTTTAAATTGTTAATGTGATATTTTGCAGCATGACATCATACTCATCTACTAAACTAATGATCTCTTTTAACTCACTATGCAGGTCGCATATGTCTTGGGTCAGCTGCAGAACAAAACAGCCACTGCTACACTTTCTGAGGTCCTAAAAAATGTTGATGAGCACCCAATGGTTAGACATGAAGCCGCAGAAGCCCTCGGCTCCATAGCAGGTATATCTGCATTCGGCAGTTGGTTTTATGTCAATTTTATGAAGTCAGTTGATTGTATAAATCTATTGTTTGGTGCACTTGTTCTCCTCAGAAGATCTTGTACCAAAATGTGTTTTTTATTGTATACTCTTTACCTAACTAGGCTGGCATCAACTACCAAGTGGTGGTGGTGTTGCAAATGAAGTCGCATCCTGGTTGAGACTCTTAGTTCCCCTATCTACTTTTGTTTGTTTTACCTCAAAGCCATAGATTCTCTCGTTAGTGATGGATTTGGACTAAGAAGCTGCTTGTTCCGTCTGTGTCATATATTTCTACAGTCCTTTGCTAGTCATTCCTCCGTCACCTTTTTTTTGTTTATCAGTTTAAGTATCTTAATTTCCAAGTGTTCTATTTGCTTTGTTTCCATGACCTTGAATTTTGTTAATGTTGTTGTGACACTTCATTTTAACCTAACAATCTCAGTTTTTTTGTTTTTGGATTTTGATGCCTTTATTTTCTTCTCGTCTTGCTCCAGATGGTGAATGTGTGGCACTTCTGAAAGAATTTGCATCGGATCCTGAACCAATAGTTTCCCAGAGCTGTGAGGTTGCTTTGAGCATGCTCGAGTACGAAAGATCCGGCATGTCCTTCGAGGTAAGGATCCAAAGTGACCTAGAAATTGTGACCTTATCTAGGTAGGGTATCTTAACCCATGTTCTTTTTCCATGCAGTATCTGTTTTTGCAGAAGCCCTTGGTGCAATAGGCCCTGATAGAGAAAGAGGCTTCACTGCTGTATGTCTCACTATATCAGGACGCGGTGTCTGCTTACTTTATATGAAACCAACAGCCAGCCGCTAAGAAACCTACTAATGCAGAACTAGTTGCAGGAGTTGTTTGATCATTATGATAAATTATCCCATGCAACATGTTCATGTACTTCTTTTTATATCGATTGTTAGATTTTTGCTGTTGGAACATGATTATGGCAGAACAAAAAAAAAAAAGACCATGTTATCCAACATCATTTGCATCAATATATGATGTAGCTCCATATAAACTGCAACTTGTTATTATATTACCCAGTTGTGATTAACTTGTTGGTTGCATACTTTTATCATAATAACAGGTGAGATATCGTTGCCAAAGCATATTCCATGCTCGCTGCAACGCGCTTTCCACCATCTATATCACTAACATTCTGCGCAAATCTCAAAAATGTGAAGTTCTACACCAATTTCAAAGCATGATGGCCCAACACCACTGGATTGTCAGCTAGGATTGTCAAAAAGGTGCAGTTCTACAGCACGCGACGGAAACTAATTAAAAAGATTTGCGCCCCGTCACATAGGATTGTCAACAATTGCAGTCTCGTGTATTGAATGAATCGTTAGTTTATTTGACCCAATCACACCAAAACCACTATTCCCAACACGCAAATAACCAATAAATCTTTGGATTGAGATACCCAAAAGAAATAGACGACCTACACTCACCGCGGAGCCATCGACACCGAGAAGTCGGTCGGAATCCTAACCTTCTCCGCCCACACCTTCGATTCCAGGTACGCCTTGGAGATCTTCCCGGCGACCCACGTCATGTCAGGCCGCGCCGCCGCCTCCGTCTCCACGCACCGCAGTGCCACCCGGATCAGCTTCTCCGCAGCCTCCACCGGGAACGAGTCCCGCAGCCGCCTGTCCACCCATCGCCTCACCCTCCCCCGCCGCTCCTCCTCCTCGTCCCCCTCCGACGCCACCCCGATCGCCTCCCGCGCCGTTTCGATGAGTGAGAACACGTCGAAGGCCTTACGCTCCTTGTCGTACCGGTACTTGAGCGGCTCCTCGCCGGAGACCATCTCTAGGAGCATCACCCCGAAGGCGAACACGTCGGACCGCCTCGACACAGCCCCGTGGGCGAGCACCTCCGGCGCCATGTACCCCGTTGTCCCCTCAATCTTTCTCTGACGCTCGTTGGATCCCTTTCTCGTAGACGACGGCGATAGGACCGGGGTGATCTCTGCGTCCTCGGCGGCAGGATCGGGATCGGGGACCTCACCGGCGAGATCCGCAGCGCCGAAGTGGCAGATCTTGGCGCGGAAGTCGGGCTCCGTGACGATGACGGCGGAGCTTTTAACCCGGTTGTGGACGCCGGCGGCGGCGGAGGAATGCTGGTGGATGTACTCGAGGCCGTGGGCAACGTCGGCAGCGACCTGGACGCGGGAAGCCCAGGTTGCGAGCGGAGTGAAGCGGGGATTTCGCGGGTTGCGGAGGCAGTCGGCGAGGCTGGCGCCGGGAACGAATTCGTAGACGAGATAGACGTGGTCATCGGCGAGGGAGGCGCCGAGGAGGCGAGCGAGGCTGCTGTGGTGGGACCTGCCGAGGGCAGCGAGACGGGCGCGGAGGGCAACCTCAGGGTGGCCGCTTCTAAGGCGGTGGCGGAGGGGACGCTGGATGACGACGGCGTCCCGGCCGCGGAGGGTGCAGCGCCAGGCGGAGGACGAGGCGCCGGGGAGGCGCTTGGCGAGGAAGTTATTGGTGGCGGCGCAGAGCTCCGGGAAGGAGTAGAGGGCGGGGGCCTCCGGGAGGGAGGAGCGGAGGGAGGCAAGGCTAAGGGCGGAGGAAGAGGAGGACGTATAGGGCTTGGAGGAGGACGAGGAGCCGGAGGGGATAGAGGTAGGGGGCTGGCGGCGGAAGCGGCTACCGGGGTCGGTGCGGGTACCACTGGAGGAGGAGGAGGAGGCGGCGGCGCCGGACGAAGAGGGGGCAGTTGAGGCGGAGGAGGATTCAGATCTGTGCCGGGAAATGGGCTGTGAGGCCTTGGTGGCGGATTGAGACTTGCACATGGAGCGAGACCATGGAATTGGGCGAGGGCAGCCAGGGGGGTACAAATATGGTCGGAATTGCCACGTCGAGAATAATACTAATTATACGAAGTGCGTTATGATTACGTTGGCGAGCGAAGGTTGTGGGCCGCGGGGAGATGGGGAAGTGGTCGTGACTTGGACGTCCCGAGGCCAGACCAAACGCTTCGTTATTAGATGACCTCAGGCGCTGCGTTGGGTCCCAAGGAGAGCACTGGGAGATGAGGTCACAAGTGACGTGGCCGGGGTTGTGGGTCGGAGTGTGGGAAAGCCGAGGCGCGACTTCGTTGCGTTGCTTATTGGCATCCGTAGCATACGACGTGTTGTGTTGGTGACGTGGCTCGGACACATGTCGTTGTCGTCGCAGCACGATGGGAAAGCCACCGGGTTGAATTCCCCGAGTTTATGTCACTCGCTCCAACTTAATTCATTCACTTTTTAATTACATGGCATATATCCTAAGAAAAAAAATGAAGTGCTCGTATTCAAGTTGAAATATCATTAATTATATATAATTATACGTATTTTTAGCTTTTTTTCCTCCTTTTACGGTATAGTTGTTGTATAGTAATTTTCAAAGAGATTAGTTCTAGGGCACGTTAGGAGAGAGGGTCCTTGGTGACGTGTTCGATAACAAAGGGACCCTACATGCCCCAGATATGAGTCGCACTATTTTGATTCGAAGTAGTTGTAATGATGGGTTGGCTTACAAGAGGGAAAAGATAGCCAATTCACGTATCTGCGATACGAGAGATTATATTATAAAGATATGAATTAGAGGCATATATGCTCGACCTTATCTAGACACTAGTTCACTTTTCAACCTCTATATTGAATTTTTGATTTTAAAAATAAAATTAATTTATGAATCTAAGGAACTAATATTTTATTAAAATAAGTGAAATAAAAAGTATATCAAATAATACTTCAGATTGGTAGAGGGTCCAGCGTCCAATTGAGGATTGGTTATTATATGGAAATATTGTTGAACTAAAAAATTGGATGTTGAGTCATATGATCAGATAATGTACCAAAAATCAAATTTTATATAGGAGGATAGGATATTATATCAAACGATCAAATGTGATGTCAAAGTTGATATACCAAAGGATAAGGTGATATATTGAAAAATTCGACGATATGTTAACATATATATATATGTATACATATATATGTATACATATATATATATATGTATACATATATATATATATACATATATATATATATACATATATATATATATTTATTTTATATATATATATGTATACATATATATGTATACATATATATATATGTATACATATATACATATATATACATATATATA